AGGTTCAGTTTGATGTTCCCTGAACTGACAGGCACTTTTAGAAGTCCTGAGGGCACAAGTACCAAAATGTTGTAATAGTAACAATAAAGATGAAAACATTAGTGAATAATATAAATAAAATAATTATTTTTATTATTAAATATTTTCTTCCTTTTTTTCTATCCTATGATAAAATTCTTGGAATAATTTTAAAAAAAAGAAATAAGTAATACTTAACTTACATTTATTTGTTTCTTCTTTCTATATTTCTGACACTTAAATTTACATTTACTGTGTTTAGAGACATTTTTCAAGGTATTAGGATTTTGAATTCTGATCATTTACATGAAAACAAAAAAGAGGAGAAAATGCTCAAAATCTGAATCAGTGAATATGTAAGAGTAAGACAAGCATTATTGGTGATGGTAAAAAAAAATTAAGCTAAAGAAAAGTAAAACCAAAAATTTATTTAAGCTAAGATAAAGGACTGGAAAAAACCATAATAGTTTGAAACCTTGAGAATGGTTTGAGAAATTTTGAAAACCAATTAAGGACAGGGGCATTGTTATTGTAAAAACATATGTTCTGTAAAAATATCCTTGAAATTAATATTTTAAGATAAGAGTTGAATACAAATGTTACAAAAATATTAAAACCTTGTGGATTCTAAGTTTATTATTTTACCAATATAATGACATAATTATGTATTCTCTGCTTAAGTGTTAGTGTTTTTCTATGAGATAAAAATAGATTTACTTGTTAAAATAAACTCACTTGTTATCAAACTTTAAAATTGCAACAAAGTTTAGCCATGTTAATGTAAATGTTTTATTCCTGAAAGTTAGTATTCTTTTTTTTAGATATAAAAATCTTAGCAATTAAAAAAATCACATCTCAGACCTGAAAAATTGTCTTGATTGGCCAACTCTTTCCAAATAAAGTATATTCACATTTTCATTCTGATTCAAAACTTAATGAAACAAATTATCAAACTATAAAGGTTAAATTTTACATACAGATTCAAAATTTCATCTTCTATTTTGTCCACATTAAGCTATTTTAAATCTTAATCACACTTCTAAATGAAGTTAATATTCAACTGTAAGGGTTCTTTCCACGTGTGTCAAAGTTAAAATTTAAATGCCCTACTTCAATGTTATGAATGAACCATAACCGCTGTGATAATAATATGCTCTGTATTTTTAAACGAACTCATTGATATACAAATATTAATTATCATTACTGAGATATTATTTGTGCAATTGTCAGGAAAATGTCCATTTGAGAAAAAAGTTACTATTATGACTAAAATATTTTAATCCGGTACTATCCTTTAAAGATCCTACACAGTGGAATACTGTGAGTGTAACTCAAGTGTACAAATAGGATTTTAAAAACTGATTGTTACCAAAACATGTACATTGTTTTTAACTCTGTAGAAAAAATAACTAAGTGGAAAGCTGAAAAACAAACTAAAATCCCTTTTAAAAAAACGAGAAAGAAAACTATCTCCATAATTTTTTAAGCTTCTTATACTATTTTTTTTTATGGTAGAAGAAATCTTGACAAAATGACGAGGCAAAGGGATTTTTAGAAAATTTTAAATAATTCCTATTGACAACGCAAAATTTCATATTTATAGTGAAAAAAACCCTAATCTAACGGTTCTTCGAAAATTAGCATTTATGGCAAAAGATGTACCATGAATAATGTTTCAAAAGATATCCAGCAGGATATTTAACAGACCTTTGAAACGAAGATGTTCAATAACACCTAAGTGACTGAAACGTATGCGAAGTAAAAAATCGACAAACGTAATTCAGGTTTGGTTTGAACTTGTAAAATTATTGGCAAAAATAAAAGTATAGATATATATTCCAAATCAGCATAATTTAGAATTTGAAAACAACACTAAATCTGTGTAGTAAAATTCTTAATTTCAGTTGAGCTTGAGATAAAATATTTGTATTTTTGTTATTTTTATTAAGATAAGGAAAAACAGAGTTCTTCTACATTCATTTGCCTTGTGCTGAGCCATAGCGCAGGAAGAGCGGACGCCAAGGGAGATAACAGACATCGGAAGCCTCGTTTCTACTTCGCGGGCCGCTCTTTAGACGCCATCTTGCGAAAAATATTCGAAGAGGTAATGTGAAATATTTATACCTGTTGCCTCAAATATGCTTTATTGGAAGTTGGAAGCAATGAGAAACGCTTTATCGAAGACTTGTGCGAGATCCCATGGTGGTACGAGTTGAAATTTTAACCCAAATCTTGCGCAGATCAAGCGATTTCAGTTCTCGCAAAGTGTACATATAATGTTCTGTAGGAGGCCATCTTGATTTGGATATTCTAACACAGCAGGGTCTGTTACAAAGAATCGGAATTGTGCTCAGAGAAAGGTGCCGAAATATTACGCTTTGTTTCGCAAATTGTTAAAAAGACAGCGTCAGTCGTTCAGATTCCATCCCGTGTCGTGTTCCGAGCGAACTACAGCGGCAGCATCATCAGAAGGAGTAAAAGTATGCCGGCTCCGAGCAGGGCACGGGTATACGCCGATGTGAACACACATAGGCCTCGTGAATATTGGGATTATGAGTCCCATGTCGTCGAGTGGGGGTAAGTGAATGAAGGATTTTAACTTTGTCTTTATTTCTCATACCTCTTTAATGCTCGATTTATGGCCTGAATATTTTTTCTTTTTACGACCCTTCCCCCACCCTCTGGGTTCTTTTTCTATGTAATAAATTGCTAACGTGGTCACGTGCGTTATGTCTGTTACTGAAGAGGGGAAAAACGGAGCATATTTTCCTTGTATCCCATTATGTCGATTTCTTCGTCGCTTTACTTATTCGCGCTGCTTTGCTTTTTCTACTGTTATCATTGTATATGCACTGTCTGTTTATCTACTATCGAATAAATTAAAATAACAGGTTAAAATGCGCGGGTAAGAAGGAACATTGTTAAAGTTCTACTTTGGCGTGGCACAGCTACCAAATTATACAGAAGCTTCTGTCGAGGTTTTTTTTTTTTTTTTTTTAAATAAAAAATTTTTTTTTTTTTTTAATATATCGTCAAGAACACACTATTTTATTTATGTATTTTTACCATCTCTAATCTGTACTCTTTACTATTATATCGAGTAATATGCTTGTAATTGTTAACAATTAACGCTTTTTAGTTTTTAAATGATTGATTGAATATAAATAAAAAAATCTATTTGAGTTGTTATTGGTTTTTATATGCTCTAAAATGTTAATTTCATGGACTTTTTTTTTCTTCACCGGTAACATTCTATAAACAAAATGCTTTTTTCGCCTTTTAATATGAATTAACTTTTATTAATAACTTTAAAACCAATAATGGTCCTTTTCTTAAGGCTTGCAAAGATTATTTTTTTTTTGCTCCTGTAGAAGCTCCATTTATTACTAAGCATAGCTTAAATTTTATTTTTCTGTAACTTTGTTTTCTATATATTTGTATATGATTGACTATTTTTGCTTAAAGAGTGATATAACGAAATAATTTCATCAGTAACATGAAATTTTGTCTTCATACATCGTGTGCTAATAATCGTCTTAGGATCGAACGTGTTGGTACCACACTGCTAACTGCCAGGAAATTTCTTTATTTCCCCCACCACATTTTTTCTTAGAAACATTTTATATGCTATTTTAATTATATAGTTTGATGCTCTACGTGTGGCTCAATTATGACCTTGTGGTCAAATGTGTCCAGCTCTGTAAAAATGGTATCACTTATTACCTACTGCTGCTTCCTTGTCAGCTCACTCTATCTGTTAATTCGTTATTTTCTGCTTTTTCTCCCTTTGTTCGTCGACAAGAAAAGACCCCCTTATTGCTGAGGGAGTTGCTCCGAAAGATACGTTTAGGGTACTACACTCGTATGGTGTAATGGAGAAATGCGAAATGGTGTGTGAAAACAAGTACTCGGAACAATGTATTGTAATGACTCTCAATTTGTCGACTTTCTTTGATAGTTTACTTTACAATATATCGATGCTTTGATAATATTGTTGGTGATGAGATAGCTTTTACGTCGTCTTTGTCCACATTTTTTTCTCTGATTTTACTAGAAAAGACTGAGAAATGTCGTTTTATATCATCAACGAAGGAACTATGACGACACTCCATACTTCACAACACCAACCAGCCCGTGATTATTAGCACTTCTCTTGGACATTTCACGATGACATCTTAAATTAATGTACAACAAAATGCTTTTTAGCTATTGACAACGAGTTGTATTAATACTTTCATTATTAATGACGTTTTTCAAATGGCTGCAAAATCGGTAAAATTCTAGAATACATAATGGAAGACAGGAACTCCTTTTTCTCGTTTACAGCGTCTACCATGTGTGCTTTTCTGATTCGATTCTTTCTGATTAGAATATTGAGTATTGACTGAAGCATATATACATTAGCATTGTTTTTCATTAATTTTTATTGGACTTTTTGCAAAATGTTTTTGCTGCTTGTTTAAGCTAGCTGATAACCTCCAAAATAAAACAACGTAAATGATCATTGATTTGAAGATTTTTTTTTTTTTTTGATTGCTGTAGCGGTAGTAGTACACACGATTTACAGACGCCCCAATCACGCACGTAATGTCTACATAATATGATCTTTCCCATGTTTACCATTTTAAAATCATCTTTTTGGGGCATTTTGAAATTAGACAATGGATTATGAAAGTTGATGTACAATATTTAAAATTAAAAAAAAATAATAAAACTATATCTTTCTTCAGAGATACTAGCTTGAGTTTTAACTTTGAGTGGTGCAAAAAATGTTTTATTGTAAAAAAAAAAAAAAAAAATGTAAAATTTGTCAGTTGATTGAATTGCCAGAAGATTATTGCAATTCTTAAAGTACTTAGTCTTAGAGAATTGTTAACGGTAATACATTAATATTTAAAGTTCTTAATGAATGTGTGGATAATTTGACGTGCTTTATTTAATTTCAAGTGTTAGCTTTCAGTCTGCAGGGTTCAACTTTTTTTTCTTCTTGATAACCGGAAGTAAGTCAAAGAAAGGTTAATCAAGAAAAAAATGTTCATATATGCAGAATATCAATTCGTGACGATTTTTTATTTTATGTAAGCATTTCGTTATAAAACCCACTACTTTGTAGTTTTCTTCGGAATTTCATTTATCCTTTAAATGAATAACATTGACTAATTTGCTTTTATTTTCCTGGCTTGCAATTAACTCAGGAAATTTATGTTGAATTTTTACACTTCCGGTCATGACGAGAGACTTTAAATGAAAAAAAATAGGATTATTTTAATTAAAAATTCTCTTGAGTACCCAAAATTTATTATATTATTAACCATAGTATCAGCTGATTGTCGCTTCTAGGTATTCAAAGCTAAAAAGCACTACAAAAAGTATTTTTTTTTTTTTTTTCAAGTTGTGTTGAAGTGTCTATCTTTGTAAAATCGAGTAACTTTAGTCGGGTTTTAGTTTAACGATGAATTTATTGCCGTTTTCATTATTTGGCGCAGATGTTCACTTTTTTTTTTTTTTTTTTTTTTTTTTTTGTTTGAGGGATTTTTTTTTTTTTTTTTTTTTTTGACATTGAAATGAGGGATTTTTTTTTTTTTTTTTTTTTTTTTTTTCATCGCAATTAGATGTTATTTAATTTAATACGAAATCTTTTAATCTAAAAATTAGTTACATGCATCAAGCTCAATTTTTATTTTTGTCCGTTGGCGTTACTAGACTCAAACCGGGAAGTTTTCAACGGTTTACTTTAGTTTTTTGTGTTTTCATGACTCAACACCTCTTAAACTTAGGGCTGACACATACCACTGGGTCAGACCCCCTAAACAAGGACGAATGATAAACCTACGTTTGTTGGTTTTAGAAATTAACTCCTTTTTATTTTTTTTCTGAGAATAGTAATTGAATTTCTGAAATAAAAATAGTTTGCTTACATTTTAGTTTTTATTCTATTTGAGTCTATTTGAATTAAAATTTCAATGACCTATCAAAGTAAATCACATATTGTATGAATTTATACTGGATATAAAAATCCAACAAAAACTAACCATCTCTCTCTAGTCTCTAGACAAATTGTAAAAAAAACAAAACTTTTCAATTAAACTATTAGGACTCGATTTTTTTTTTTTTATAACCATTTAACTTGAGTTTACTACTGAAAAAAATGTATTTAAAATTGTATACATTTATTTTTACAATATTTTATTACTGTTTCCTGGGAGCTCACAACTAATTTTTCTGACTTCACCAAGGTGGTCCATATAGTTATGGATCGTCTTGCACTTAAACATGATAATCAGCCTAGTTCTAATGGCCTAATATCACTGTAGCCAACAAAGCTAATAAAAAGGACTTCTCTCAAATAATTGCTGGCATTGCAGAAAAAAGTCAATATCAGCACCTTGCTTTATGTGAAAGGAAGGATTCACAGTAATTTGATTCATTAAAAAAAAAAAAAAAAGCTACAAAATAAACATCAAACATGCCTTTTCTTTCTTTCTTTTTTTTTCTCATTATTTTAGAATCTAAAAGAAAGATGCTTAAAAAACATTAGTCTAGATAAAGTTTAGTTTTGAAAGTTTGCCTTCATTTTAGGTACCTCCTCTAGGTTGCGTAATATAAAATAAAACCGCATAGCATGATGAAAAAAAGGCCCCAAACTCAATAAAAACAAAGTTTTGCCATCAAAATGTTTAAGAGGAAAGATCAAAATTTATTTTTTTTTTTTTTTTTTTTTTTTTTTTTTTTTACTACTGTCTAACATTTTCGAAATTTTGGTTAAAAAATCTTTTTTTTTTTTTTTTACCGACAGCAGCGAACTAGAGGAAATGGTTTGTTTTATTCTGCACTTTTTCCGATGAAAAGCCACATTGATTTGGAAATTCTTGCAAAATTCAAATAATTGTCGGATTTTCCTGAAACTTTCAGGACATATTCAGAAATGAATGAAATTATTTAGGAAATTTTTATTTTTAGAAAATCTTGGTGATAAATAATTTTTTATTTTTTTATTTTTTTTTTTATGCTACCACCCACTTTCATAATTTCATGAAATTTTGAGAAATTAAATTTTTAAGTGGGGGGGTAGTTTTATTAGTTAAAAACAGGACTCTTTGGAGAAAGTAATCTATTTTTTTTTTTTTTTTTTTTTTTTAAAATCTGCTCTGAATTGTAAAATAAAAAAAATGCAATAAAACTGACATTTAATTAAAAAGCTTTCGATTGCTTTTGTAGATAAGTTATATTAAGGACATTATTATCTGAAGAAGTCAAAATTTTTTATGAATAATGAATTTTTACAAGAATTTTTTGCATTTTTAAAAATTTTAATTATAATAATTCAAAAATTCTTCATTGCTTTCAGGAATGCTACAATTTGATGATATTAAGTGAAAAGTAAATTTACGAATTGAAATTTGAAAAGCTCAAGTCGTTTGAACCTGAATATTTTAAAAATAACTTTCATTCCTAATTTCTACCTATAGGAATCTATAGATGACATAATCCTTCAAAAGGTAACATGATTTAAGTGTTGTCTGACACACTGCAATTATTTAACTTTTAATTCAGTTCTGTTGCATCATTAACATTTT